CTTGTCCCTAGCAACCAACATTTTGCTTTCTGTTTTTACAAACTTGACCCCACTAGGCACCTCATATACTGCACCTGGAATCGTAGAGTATTTGTTCTTTTGTGACTGGCTTATTTAACTTATTATCATCATGTCCTCAAGGTTCATCCAAGTTGTAGCATTTCTCAAAATCTTCTTCCTTATTAAGGCTGAAAAACATTCCATGGTCTGTAGAGACCACATCGTGCTTATCCGTTCATCCTTGGATGGAGACATGGGTTGATTCCACCTTTGACTATTATGAATAATGTTGCTATGCACATGGGTGTGTGAATGTCTCTTTGAGTCACTGCTTTTCATTTTTAGGTCTATATCTAGAATTAGAATCGTCTTAATTTTTCTCAGATACCTTCAGACCGTGCTCCGTAATGGCTGCATCATATTACGTTCGCATCAGCAGTGCAGAAGTGTTCCAATTTCTCCAAATCCTCCCAAAATTTCTTACATTGTGTTTTATGGATAGTAGCCATGTTAATGAAAGTGAGGTGGTTTCTGATTTGCAAAGGTAATGACTTCCTTTAGTTTTCAGTAATAATTGCATAATAATAGAATGTGGGTGCCTGCTGGGCATTCTGTACTTTCTCAAATGTAGGATTCAGACTGGACCATGCCCCCCTCACTTCCTCCTCCTTGTTGATTTTCAGGATGTTGGAAATAGATGCTTGATGCAGCAAAGAAAAATTAGCCCTGAGACAAAGAATCTTTCAGCAACACAATTTTTACTTCCTGGACTGCAGGAAGGGTACCCTTGATAGCCATCTTGCCATGAGAGTACAGTGAGCAAAGGAAAACACACAAATTTATCCCTTACACATTTGGGGTTATCCTTACTGCTGTGTCTGATCTCCACTGGCTGGAATCAGACCTCACAATCTAAACTGAAACCCGACTGGCTAACAACTTAAAACTTTTCTAAACAGGTAAAAGCAATGGAGAGCTGGGACATGCCTGTGAGCACATCCAGCACAGATAACATGGTTAAAGTACAAGGACATAGAGTGCACCACATGCCTGTAAGCATGGCCTGTCTAACAGCTACATAGCATAGGGCTTAACAAAGAGCTACTAGCACATTTATTCTTTAAGAAGAAAGGAAACTTTAAACAGGAATTTTTCTACTTTCCACAAGGTGATTCTTGCTTTTCTTCACAGCAACCACTGCCAACCCAGCATCACAAAGCATGAGGTCAGCAAAAAAAAGTGTAGGGAGATCTTAGGCTGAAACTGTGAACCCCTGGAGGTGGAGGTTCATGTGTGTCAGAGGTCTAATATTGCCACGCTTCCCTAACATTTAAAGAATCAAGAGTAACTGGGCTCACAGTTGCAGCTGTGAGGATGGAACAGCAGGAAAGCAGGAGTATGCGTTGGAGGGGGAGAGGACGGCATCCCTCCTCTGGCTGCCTAGCAATGCTTAGACTCTCAAGAGGGGACTCTTGAAGGAATCAGAGTGAGAACAGGCAGTGGCAGAAGTGCTATTCTGTCTCAGCCACATGTAGCTGCAGAGACTCAGGAAAAGTAATGTAGATGTGACGTGGTTTTTAAAATGAATAACCTCTCAGTTGTATATTCAGTTGGTCTCCCAGGTCCCTGTTCAAGCAATTCTCCTGCCTTAGCCTCCTGAGTAGCTGGGACTACAGGCATATGCCACCATGCCCAGCTAATTTTTGTATTTTTAGTAGAGAAGGGGTTTCACCATGTTGGCCAGGCTGGTCTTGAACTCCTGACCTCGTGATCTGCCCACCTTGGACTCCCAAAGTGCTGGTATTACAGACATGAGCCACCATGCTTAGCCAACTGTTTGCATATTTTTAGGCCAGTAGTTCCCAAAATGTAGTTTAAGGACTTCTGGGGAATCAAGACCCTTTCTAGGGGTCCATAATTCCAAACATTTTCCTAAGAAAATTAAGAATGTACTTGCCTATTGACTTTTCAATTTATCTGCCTGATGTAATACTGCAAACGTTTGAATTAAGTGGTGGCAGATTTGAGAATCTAGCTGTGATGTAATAAGGCAAACATTAAAGAAAGTTGCAAAAATGTAAGACAATGCTAATTTTATTACTAATTCTTTGGAAAATACTGTATAATAGCTTATAAAAATTGTATAATGTTAATATATATATTTTTTAAGTTTAAAATTTATAATTTCTTCAGTGTCAATATATAATTTTACATAAATATAGATAATACAAAGAAAAAAATTTTAGGGTCTCAATAGATTAGAAATGTACAAAATTGGCCTGAGATTAAAAACTTTAATTACTTCCTTAGGTTAAGTTTTTAGGTATCAGCTGGCTGGATGGAAGAATATGCATACTCAATGCTTTTCATACACATGTCAAATTGCTATGAAGCTATCCAGTTGCTTCCGTGGTTCTAAGTTCTCATGGGAAATGTAACTCAGGTCTGTCTTGCTGTTATCAATTTTTCACACTGCTTACCATAATTAATCCAGTGAAGAATTTCAGTGAAAGGTATGTTGAGCTATTTGTACCTGGCCTTCCAGAGAACTCCCTTAATATAGGATAAGTTTACATTCTTTTTGCGGGGGCAAGGGGGGTTGTGTCTGGAAAGGAAGATCATAGGATAAGTTTAGAATTCTTAGATGAGAAAGTCAAACATAGATTCCTGAGTTCACAAACCGCAGCCCCAACATTTATTCTGTGGGTGATCCTAGGGAAGATATTTACCCTTCTGAGCTCACCTCCTTCACATAAAAATGGGGGCTGGGACTGGGGAAGGATTTGACCTGGTGCCCACCAATACATTGTAAGCAATCAAGAAATAGTAGCTAGGTGGGGTTTTTGGGCATTTCTACCATAAATGTGAAATATAATTTTATTTTAATTATGTGACAAATAAAGTTAGAAAGTGAAGAGAGTCCACCGGGTGAGGTGGCCATGCCTATAATCCCGGCACTTTGGGAGAGTGAGGTGAGTGGGTCACCTGAGGTCAGGAGTTTGAGGCTAGCCTGGTCAACATGGTGAAACCTTGTATCTACCAATAATACAAAAAAATTAGCAGGGTGTGGTGGCGGGCACCTGTACTCTCAGCTACTCGGGAGGCTGAGGCAGAAGAATTACTTGAACCCAGGAGGTAGAGGTTGCAGTGACCTGAGATTGTGCCATTGCACTCTGGCCTGGGTGACAAGAGCAAAATTCTGTCTCAAAAAAGAAAATAAAAAGAAGTAAAGAGAGTCATCTTCTTTGTACTTTTTTCCCCAGCCACTGTATCCATAATTGTTAGAACAAATTCCTTCTCAATGCTGTCATAGAGGTGTGCAGGTTCTCTTGTTCTCTGACCCTCCTCAGGATATAACTGACTGTTTGTTTCCCCCACCAGGTCATGAACTCTGAGAGTTTGAGCTGTGCCTCTGAAATCTGTATCAATAGCACATTGCACTCTTGAAGGAGGTGAGTATTTTACTGGTTACTTCTTAAGATGGAAACCCAACATACCAAACCCTGTGGAATGCAGTCAAAGCAGTACCAAGTCCGGGTACGGTGGCTCACGCCTATAATCCTGTAGGGAGGCAAAGGCAGGAGGATTGCTGGAGCCCAGGAGTTCAAGGCCAGTCTAGGCAACATAGCAAGACATGGTTCTCCACAAAAAGGAAAAAAAAACTACTAACAGGCAAGTATATAGCAACAAACTCCTACATCAAAAAAGTAGAAAATTTCAAATAACAGATAGGGCACACTGGCTCATGCCTGTAATCCTAGCACTTTTGGAAGCTGGGGTGGGTAGATTGCTTGAGACCAGGGGTTTGAAACCAGCCGGGGCAATGTAGAGAGACCCCATCTCTACAAAAAAATCAGAAACTTAGCTGGTCGTGGTGGTACAAGCCTGTAGCCCAGCTATTTGGGAAGCTAGGGTAGAAGGATTGGCTGAGTCTTGGAGGTAGAGGTTGCAGTGAGCTGAGATTGTGCCACTGCACTCCAGCCTGGGTGACAGACTAGACCTTGTCTCAAAGAAAAGAAAAAGAAAGAAAGACAGAAAGGAAAGAAATAAAGAAAAGAAAGAAAGAAAGAAAGGAAAGAAATAAAGAAAGAAAGAGAAAGAGAGGGAGGAAGGGAGGGAAGGAAAGGAAGGAAGGAAGGAAATAATATGGAGATGACAGTGTCTTGTACAACTATGTAATGGCTTGTCTCCCATGTCTGTGTGATTGTGTGTCCTTGAGTGTGTTGGATTGAGGGTCCTTCTGTGTGTGTGCATGTGTTGTGTTTTTCTCTGACTCTGTGTGGTTGGGGGTGTGTGGTCTCGCACGTATGACTGGATGTGACTGTGTATGTCCATGTGTGATTGTCATGCTTTGCCTGAATGTTTCTATCTCAGTCTGGATGAGCCACAAGAATGTGTGTTCAGGTTTTCCGTGTCTCTGTGTCTGTTTGGCCGTGGGCTGCTGTGTGTGCTTCGTAGTTCGCTGTGTTACTTCATGTGCTGTTGTGTGCTACTGCTCTAGGACAGCCGGAGTGTGACTGTGAGTGTGTGCACCAGTTAGGAGGGCTGTGGGTGCTCACCTGAATGTGTGGGAAGGTTCTGGATTAATTTTATACAGCTGCTGTAACAAAGCACCACAGATGGGTGGCCTGGGTAGACTGGGTGGCTTAACCTAACAGAACCTTGTTGCCATGCCCCAGAGCGAGGGGCCGGCCGAGGGTTCATCCGGTCACCCACAATGGGATCCTTGCAAGTGTTCCTGACAACGGCTCCCCTAAGTCCCTCCCACCCGGGCCCCGCCCCTCACCCGGGCCCCGCCCCTCACCCGGGCCCCGCCCCTCACCCGGGCCCCGCCCCTCACCCGGGCCCCGCCCCTCACCCCCGGCCCCGCCCCTCACCCCCGGCCCCGCCCCTCACCCCCGGCCCCGCCCCTCACCCCCGGCCCCGCCCCTCACCCCCGGCCCCGCCAGCCACGCGCGCCGCGACGCGCCGCCTCAGTCTCTGCCGGCCAATCCGGCCTCCCTGGCGGTTACGCGCTCCGTCTCCTTCCGCCCCCGCGCGCGCCTGCCCTGCTCCGGCCGCCTCACCCTTTTCGGGGCGTTTGGGCAGCGCGCCTGTGGGGGCGAAGCCCGGAGCAAGCCACCGAGCCAATGGGGCGCGGCGGAGCCTGAGTCGGACCCAGACGGGCGGCGGCGGCTGAGGTGGAAGCGGAAGGAGGCGGTGGCGACGGAGGGGGGAAGATGGCGGCGCCCGTCCCGCTGAGAGTGTTGGTGCCGCGGTGGGAGCGGGTGGCCTGGTACGCCGTGTGTGCCTCCGGGATCCTGCTGTCCATCTACGCCGACCACGTGGAGCGGGAGAAGGAGCGGACCCCGAGCGCCGGGCCTTCTGCAACCTGGGGCCCTGGGTGAAGTGCCCCGCCGCCCTTGCCTCCAGGTAGCCGGCGTTGGGGAGTGGGCCGGGAGCGGCCGCGCGGGGCGAGGGCGGAGGCTGGGGGTGGGGAGCGCTAGGCGGGAACTTGGGCCTGGGGGTGGCGGGGACCGGGCCGCGGGGGAACGGACGGGGCCGGGGCCAGGCGGGGGGCGGCGGCTGGGCGCTCCTGCCCCAAGGGCGGCCCGAGCCCAGGCGGCGCGGCGAGGGTGGCGGGGCCTGGAGGCCGCCAGGGAGGGATGAGGTGATAGTGCAGCCGGGAGGCCAGGGAGGTCGGGGTGCTAGCGGGCGGGCGGGGGCCGCGCCGGGCTGGAGCGCGAGGGTCTGAGGAGTGTGGGTCCGTGCCGGCCTGACAGATTTCATGGTTCTCGGGAGACGGGCCCGGGGTATGGGACCCCGTCCGCCGCACCCGCGAGGCCAGCGGCCACCTCTTGTCCCCCCATCGCTGCAGCCGAGGCTTTGGGGCCGGCGCGGACTCAGGGGGCTTGCGTTTCCCAGTGTCTTCCTGGTGCTAGGACAGGTGTTTCCGTGGTCAGGCTTCTTAGTACTCCAGCGCTAGTGAGAATCTGCAGACTTCCTGGGACGGTGACATTTGCGGGCAAACACGAATTTGACCCTACTCGGAAAGAAGATACCGGCACTTAACATACCTGATTTCTTGGATTTCCCGTCGTATATTTCATTGTGCCAGGAGGGGGAAATGGTCTGAGTTTAAGCTTCATTGGCGTAAAGGACAAGTATGTTATGTGTATGGTGGTGTTTAGGCATTGAGATGACTTTTAAACGTTGTTGCTTATTAGTATAATGGGATACCCACAACAGATTAAAAACACACGCTTTGCTAAACTTGAGCGATTGGTTTGTTACTGATAATTTTAGGTTTTTTTTTTTTTTTAAATGTTGTAATTGGTTTGTCTGTTACGTTTTATTTAAACGCATTAAATTTTCCTAGGCAAGTTACTTTGAAAAAGGGAGGAATTTACATTTTAAAGGTGGCTGCTGTTTTTTTTGTTTTTTTTTTTTCGGGGGATTAAAAACATAACAGAAGTCAAAGGAATGATTTCAGAATTGATAGGTTACGATTTTAATAGACACTGTGTCTAATATTTAGATGTTCTGTACTGTTAACATGTTTGTTAACAGTAGTCACGTTTGAGCAATTTCTTCCCCTCCCGTTGATTGGTTAAATGGTATGTAGACAGAAATGTATAGCTCACTAGTTTATTTCGACTCACATATTGTGATTACATGAACAAGGTAGCACTGGAGTTTGTCTTGTTATTGTTTACAAACTTCAGGGTGCGGATCTTTCCACTTAGCCTTCTCGTGGACCAGATACTCTATCCCATTTGCTCTTAAACCAAAATCCTGTAGCTTTTTACAGGGGAAATAATTATCACATGGCCAAATGAAACATTTTGAAAATGCAATTAAAATGTAGGTATTAGTTTACAGGGGAAAATCCATAGATGTGACAAAAAAACAATTGCTGGTGGTGGTTATTCCGAACCAAGTTAATAGACTGATTAGACTCTTAGATACCCATTGAGAAATATTGAGTGTCTTTTATGCAAAATTTTTATGTTATTTCCATCTTGGGAAAGGACGTTTAAACTCCTAAGTACCTTTCACCTGAAGTTAGTTGAATGAATAAATATATAAGGAAAACATGCAGCAGCACATTTCAAGTATTTAAGAAACAAGAAGAACTAAAAATAACTTTTGATCCTAGGTTAATACGGAATTTAAGCAGAATTATGATCAATTTTAGATTTTTTTTTGAAACAAGTAGTTTAAAATAAATGGATCTTTTTACATTGGGCATGGAAGGAGTGCTTTATGCTTAAGTTCTTAAAACTGACTTTCTTTAAAAAAGTTTTGAACCATTTAATAAGCATACACTCTAAATATTCTCATAGTTATATATCCTGTAAGAGCTATGTGTTTGTGCATCATAAAACATCAAGAAGTATATTAAAAATATGTATACGTACATGTAAGACTAAAGGTAAATGGATCTCTTTATAGTTTTAAATGTGAATTTAATATATTGTGACTGAAAGTGTTTCAGTGTGTAGTTGTGGACATAAAACAGTTTAACTTAGATGCTTGTTAAAGGATAGTTAAAAATAAGATATGCTAATAAGAGTAAATAACCTGCTATCTATACAGTGAAATTATTTTAAGAAATTTATTCAGTTTGATCAGCCTGTTTTATAAACTGCTTGCAACAGTCAACTAGTTTATAAACTACTTATTTAATAAATGAATTTACAGGTCAACTTATTTTGGAAATAGTTTATAAACAGGCTGATCAAAATCACATATGTATATATACATATATAATCACATATATATACATATATAGACTAATTTTCTTTTGGAAGTAGGTAGACAAACCATCGAAAGTTTTTATTTTGTCAAGCTGAAAGAGACTTTAAATGAAAGTTGAATATTGGACACCTCAAGTTAGTTTCTTCTGAGTAGTGATTGCCAGGTAGCAGTACTACTGAAAGATGTTGACTCTTAGGAAAAGAAAGTTTGAGCCCAGGCCGGGCTCGGTGGCTCATACCTGTAATACCAGCACTTTGGGAGGCCGAGGCGGGCGTATCACCTGAGGTCGGGAGATCGAGAACAGCCTGACCAATGTGGAGAAACCCAGTCTCTACTAAATATACAAAATTAGGTGGGTGGGCATGGTGGTGCATGCCTGCAATCCCAGCTACTCAGGGGGCTGAGACAGGAGAATTGCTTGAACCCGGGAGACAGAGGTTGTGGTGAGCCGAGATCATGCCATTGCACTCCAGTCTAGACAACAAGAGCGAAATTCCATCTCAAATAAATAAATAAGAAAGTTTGAAGCCACCTGTCTCACGCCTGTGATCCCAGCACTTTGGGAGGCTGAGGCGGGTGGATCATCTGAGGTCAGGAGTTTGAGAACAGCCTGACAAACATGGAGAAACCTTGTCTCTACTAAAAATACAAAATTAGCTGGGCATGGTGGTGCATACCTGTAATCTCAGCTACTCGGGAGGCTGAGGCAGGAGAATCACTTGAACCTGGGAGGCGGAGGTTGCGGTGAGCCGAGATCGCACCACTGCACTCCAGCCTGGTCAACAAGAGTGAAACTCTGTCTCAAAAAAAAAAAAAAAAAGAAGAAAAAGAAAAAATGTTTGAGCCCAGAGAAAAGTTAACAGGTGAAAAAGATTCTGAAGAAGGTCCTCTTCCAGGATCCAGTGTCAGCACATGGTTTTGGATTGTTTACACTCAACTTTATTCTCATTTCACAATCCCCAAATATCCTAATCGAAACAATAAGGTAGAGGTTAAAGAGAGAATCTTGAGGGGCATGTGTTATCTGTGTATAAAGTCCCCTATTATTTTGGGGCCATAATGATGTAAAGGGCCAGACTTTTAGATTTCTAAAGAAATATTTTCCCAAAATTAGGAGGCTACAATAGAAATGATTTTATTTATTTATTTATTTATTTATTTATTTAATTTTTAAGATGGAGTCTTGCTCTGTTGCCAGGCTGGAGTACAGTGATGTGATCCCAGCTCACTGCAGGCTCTGCCTCTTGGGTTCAAGTAATTCTCCTGTGTAGGCTTCCTGAGTAGCTGGGATTACTGGTACATGCCAGCACACCCAGCTAATTTTTTTTTTTTTGGTAGAAACAGGGTTTTACCATGTTGGCCAGGATGATCTCAATCTCTTGACCTCGTGAGCCACGGTGCCTGGCCTGATTTTTTATTTCTACCAGGTACAGCCAATAAAAACAAATATCACACCAGTGTCTCCTGTTACCATCATTTCATTTAACAAAAGTATATTTTCACTCAAACAACTGGAAAGAACAGAATCTTTCACAATAAATTTTATTTTTTATTTTTTTGAGATGGAGTCTTGCTTTTTCGCCGAGCTGGAGTGCAGTGGGATGGTCGATCTTGGCTCATTGCAACCTCCGCCTCCTTGGTTCGAGTTATTCTCCTGCCTCAGCGTCCTGAGTAGCTGAGACTACAGGCGTGCACCACCAAGCCCAGCTAATTTTTGTATTTGTAGTGGAGATGGGGTTTCACTATGTTGGCCAGGATAGTCTCGACCTTTTGACCTTGTGATCTGCCTGCCTCTGCCTCGCAAAGTGTCAGGAGCCACTGACAGGAGGCATGAGCCACTGCAACCGGCCAGAATAAAAGATCTTTAAATTGTTCAGTAGCATTAGTCCTAGAAAAAAACAAAAACAAACAAACAAACAAAAAGATGTTTAAATTGAATCATTTAGTTATATTGAAAAGTTTGCTTTCAGACCAGCCTGGCTAACATGGTGAAACCTTGTCTCTACTAAAAATATAAAATTAGCTGAGTGTGGTGGCGTGCACCTGTAATCCCAGCTACTCTGAAGGCAGAGGCAGGAGAATCACTTGAACCTGGGAGGCAAAGGTTGCAGTAAGCAGAGATGGTGTCATTGCACTCCAGCTGGGCTGCAAAAGTGAAACTCCGTCTCAAACAAAAAAAAAAAAAAAAAAAGTTTACTGTTGTGTCCTCCTTTTCCCTATTTTCCCATAAATCAATGAAAATTTTGCTGCAAACTTACACCAGCCTGCCAGCTAACATTAAGTTGGTCCTCCCCCCCAGTTGGTTTGGTATACTGAGTTCAAATATAAGGGACCTAGAGGGACTTCCAGCTCTCCCAGTTAGACTTGTGGCCTTATCTTCATGGTGTCTCAATTTCTTAAATAGGGATTTTTTACACCTACTTAGGGCCTGGCTCACCCCTGTAATCCCAGCACTTTGGGAGGCTGACACCTGGCAGATCTCTTGAGCTCAGGAGTTTCAGACCAGCCTGAGCAACAGGGCAAAACCCTGTCTCTACAAAAAATACAAAAATTAACCTGGCATAGTGGTGCATGCCTTTTTCCAGCTTCTTGGGAGGCCAAGGTGTGAGGATCACTTGAGTCCAGGAGGCTGAGGTCACTGTGGAGTGAGCCATGATGGTGCCACTGCACTC